TCTGTCACTATTTTTCTTTTTCTCTCCCTCACTCCGTCTATGTACCGCTCACTCTTTCACGCTTTCTCTGTTTCCATTATCGTTATTCGTATATTTCTAATTCGTCTATCTTTCACTCCCTGCAACTTGGAATTGAATTGACGGATATAGAACAATAGAGATGCGATGTCAAGAGAAGCCTAATAGCTCCGACCGTGTTTATATCTCACATTCGGGAATAAATAAACAACACCAGCCACCATTTTTTCGTAATGGGGCTCACGCTGTTTTCACAGGCTTTACAAACATCGAAGAAAACACAAGCTACAGAACTTGTCAAACGGTGCAAGTACATAATTATCAGATGTAGTGTCGGCATAGTTTTCTAACTGGTACGCCACGGCATCTGAAAAGAAAATACGAAAAAGAATAATAATAAATAAATAGGAATAGGAATAAAACGGTAGAAAAAAAGAGGGGTGGTACTCTTAAAATTAACTTTCAACTTTAAGAAGCTCTTAAAATATGCGTTGCTGCTGTTCAGTTTATAAACATTAAACCAGAGTGATATCATCAGCAGTATGTACATGGATAGATATGTATTCATGTACTTCTGATAGCATATAGTGACCGTTTAGGAAATCACCTGTTAAAATGTCACTGTGACAGGCGTTTGATTAAAAATGAAAAAGCAAAAAAAGATTTAGGCTTGAATGTTTGGGCCTATTATTGCGAAGATTATTGATAACATTGTCTGCCCATCGATACCTCATGTTTCCGCAATTTTGAACGCAATGTTGATAGGTTGATTGACAGCACTTTCAGTTGATTGTACTTTCCGTCAATATCTGAATTACATTTATACGCGCTCTTCTTCTCCTCTACCGCCTCCTCAGCCTCCTCCTCTTTTTTCTTCTCCTCCTTCTCCTCCTCCTCCTTCTTCTTCTTCTTCTTCTTCTCCGTCGTCTTCTTCTTCTCCTTCTCCTTCTCATTCTCCTTCTTCTTCTTCTTCCCCTCCTCCTCCTCTTCGTCCCTCTCGTTTGTCCCCTACTCTTCTTCCTCCTCTTTTTCCTCCTCTTTCTCCTTCTCATACTACCTTTTCATTTGGCTAATCTCGCCCAGGCTCGTTCCCCTGGCTGTATGTGGTTTCGCTAGATAGCACATAGTGACTGTAAGCATCTCGTTAACTTGTCCTTCCTCCCTCCCTTCCTTCCTTACTTCTGCAGACCAGATCGCGACAATGGAAATCGCATTAACCCTTTCTTCCTTCCTCTCTTCCTTCCTTCCGTCTTTCATTCCTTCCGTCCATCCTTCATTCCATCTTTCCTTCCTTCCTTCCGCAGACCCGATAGTGACAGCAACAATCTCATCAACCACCCTTCCTTCTCTAACCCCCTCCTCTCTCTCCTTCTTTACAGACCTTCACGGCATGGTGCAACTCGCATCTGCGCAAGGCTGGCACTCAGATCGAGGACATCGAGCAGGACTTCCGCAACGGCCTCAAGCTGATGCTGCTGCTGGAGATACTGTCCGGTAACGAGCTGCCGAAGCCAGACCGCGGCCGCATGAGGTTCCATAAGATCGCCAACGTCAACAAGGCGCTGGACTTCATCGCCAGCAAGGGCGTCAAGCTTGTCTCCATCGGTGCTGAAGGTAAGGGAGAGGGTGAGGAGGAAGAGGAGGAGGAGGAGGAGGAGGAAGGGTGAGGTGGTGGTGGGTGATGAGAGAGAAGGAGAGGGGGAGGACGGGGGAGAGGCGGACGCGGGAGAGGGAGAGGAGGAAGAGGAGGAAGAGGAGAAAAAAGATGAGTAGGAGTGGGAGGAGGAGGAGGTAGGGAGGAGGGGGAGGTAGAGGAGGAGGAGGAGGATGGGAAAGGAAGAGGAGAGGGAGAGAGAGTCAACAAGGCGCTGGACTTCATCGCCAACAAGGCGTCAAGCTTGTCTCCTTCGATGCTGAATGTGAGGGAGAGGGTAAGGAGGAGAAGTAGGAGGAGGAAGGGGAGGGGAGAGGGAGAGGTGGAGGAGGAAGAGGAGGAGGAGGAGGAGGAGGAGGAGGAGGAGGAGGCGAAAGAAGCGAAGGAGTAGGAGGAAGAGGAGAGAAAGAGTGAGACTGGGAGAGGTTGAGGGGGAGAGTGAGGGAGAGAGAGAGGGAGTGGGGGAGAGAGAGAGGAGAGCGAAGAGGGAGGGGTGGAGAGAGCGGAGAGCAAGGAGAGAGTGCTTGGAAAGAGATGGAAAAGGTAGGGAGAGGTGGGAGAGAAGGAGGAAGGGTGAGAGAGTGAGAGGGAGCGAGATTGAGGAAGAACGAGTAAGAGAGTAAGAGAGAGTGTATGTAAGAGAGAGGGAGAGATAGAGAGAGAGCCCGCGAGCGAGAGAAAGAGAGAGAGAGAGAGAGAGAGAGAGACAGAGAAGGAAGAGTAAGAGAGAGTGTATGTAAGAGAGAGGGAGAGATAGAGAGAGAGAGCCCGCGAGCGAGAGCGAGAGAGAGAGCGAGAAAGACAGAAAAAGAAGAGTATGACAGAGACTAAACGCGGATGTTTCGATTCTGCAGAAATTGTCGATGGCAACGCGAAGATGACCCTGGGTCTCATCTGGACCATCATCCTGCGTTTCGCCATCCAGGACATCAGCATGGAGGGTGAGTAGCCTGTAACGTATACAGCTTAGAAACGTAAACAATTAATTATAGTTACAGTGTAGTGTTACGCTGTGTTGGAGGTTTGCTATCGCCGATATATTGCTTATATTGCTCTTGCTATAGTTATAGTGTGCTGTCAGGGGCATCTATCTGACTGTTGCTGTTGGGTTTATCTTATAAATAATATTATATATTAAGAATGATTGCCGTCGATAACATAATAAATATAATAATAATATTTTTATTTATTAATAAGTTATCATTAATGTTAAATAGTTAATAAATTAATATTAATGATAATATTTACTTAATGACTCGTAGACGTCAGGCTTTCATTATTATTCGGAGATTAGAGGTGTGGTATAGTAGACATCTCTCCTATGTCAAACGTCTCCCTCTACATTTTACATGGCACAGGGGTAATAAGGTCAAATCTCCGTGCGCATGCGTAATGCTTCCTACTAGACATGTCTATGCTCATGCGCGACGTATAATTAAAAGGCGGGCTGCTTTTAATTTTATTTAAAGAAACCTGACGTACGAGCGAGATTACAGTATTTATTACATTATTTACTGAAGCCGCATCTATGCGACTATCACAGTGGTGAAGAAATATAGAAGATGTGGCTAATAAAGTCACTCAGATACAGTAAAAGTTCTCTAAACCAGGACCGTTTTGCTCCTGTACCTCAAATACTTCCCGAAGATTCCCCGATATATGGTTAAAATTCCGTCACAAAAATACCCGTAGCTCCTTATAGGAGTGGATTCTTTTATCTCTGGAAACTGTGTTTAGGTGTTGCTCGTGATTGGCGCTAATGAATAACCTATTAGTACCTTTCGGCAATAAATGGCCAGTTACACCTATAGCGCCATCTATACTAACATTGTCACCAGCGCAGGCGAACCAAACACTCGCAGTTCAAACCGATCGAATTCCATCAGCTTCTAGCGGATGAAATTTTTAGGCGGATCCAATTATGTTTGTAGCTCACATGCATTCCCAGCATTCCTAATAAGTGGCCATAGTTTACGCTCAATTATACCCTTGATCCCCCGGGGCCCCACCACCATCAACCCCCACCACCAGCACTACTCCGTACATTGAATACATTTGGCCCGCATAGGAGATCAGACCTGCATTCTCATCCTCCGCCAATCACGCATCGCCAGAATATAACGTAGCTGCTCGCGTGAAATCTGATTGATTAACAGAATCGTGACGTAAGCTCATGGTTTTTTACATCCGGTGTTACACGACCGTTTGCCTTCACGTTGATTTTAATTAACCGAGAAATGCATGGGAAATCGTTTCTCCCTTGAGAAACTGGGAGCGGACAACTCCCCAGTTCCTCTTTCTCCTTTAAGAGTGTGCCCACATTCATTTTACCAATTACTCGTCCCATTAATATTACTATTACTATAATATTCCCACTACCATTATAAGTACAATTACTATTAACATTACAACTACTATTACCATTACAACTACTATTACCATTACCATTACTATTACCATTACAATTACTAATACCATTACTATTACCATTACAATTACAATTACCATTTACAATTATTACATTTACATTACTAATACAATACAATTACATACAATTACAATTACAATTACAATTACAATTACAATAACATTACCATTACCACTACCATTATAATTTGGTATAGAGCATAAGATTGCGTGTTTCGGTATGTATAGTAGACCGCCATGCAAACACGTGCTGGAGTGAGTCCGGAATGAAGCACATATGCACATTCCACGTGTAATTATGCACTCTCTGCTTACCCCTAATACTAACCAGCTACAGATGGCGACCCACGCTACGAATGCTGGCTAATTCTACATCGTGAGTGGAGCGTGCAGTAGCGTATAGTATAGGTAGTGCCCGGGGAAGCCTCGTGAGAAATGCGGAGAATTATATTAGAATATATAGCTGGGTTAGTGTACGTAGTACGCACGCGAGTAGATATCCCGAATATAAGTTTTTTTTCTTATTTTTAAAGACTGCGGGGAAACGAAGTGGAACGGTTATATATCACAAGCACGGGGTAGACCTCCCCCCGCTCACCCTCCCTCCTTCACTCACTCCCTATCTCCTTCCCTCTCTCCCTCTCTCCCGCCCGCCCTTTTTTCGATCATTCCCTCTCTCCCTCCTTCTCCTCCCTCTCTCACTTCCTCTCTCACTCTCCCCACCCTCCCTTCCTTTCCTTCCTCCCGCCCTCTCTTCCTCCTTCTCTCACTCCCTTCCTCTCTCCCTCCTTCTCCCCCTTCCTTTCTCCTTCCATTCCTCCCTCTCTCCCTTCCTCTCTCTCTCCTTCTCCCCCTTCTTTTCTTCTTCCCTTCCTCCCTCTCCCTCTTCCTCTCTCCCTCCTTCTCCCTTTTTCTTTCTTCCTCCATTCCTCCCTCTCTCCCTTCCCCCTCTCTCCTTCTATCCCCAAGTTTCGTGTAAATAGTATCGCAAAAAAATGCGAACGATTGAAAAGTTGCAAGGTCATTGTGAGAATAGCGTGAAGGAACGGTTTTTTTCGGGACGCTGGATTCGACCATTTTAAATCAGAAAACCGGTAACCTTAACATATCGGATAATTTACCCATGAAAACAAGAAATCACAAATAAACATCGGTAAATGTTATTTTAATTAACTGAAAAATGACACATTTTTCTAACGTTGACGCTGTCAGGTCGACATGTGTACCCTGTAATTTTCGGGACACGGGATTTGAATGATTTTAATTATCTGGTAACCGGTAATTGCTTGATAAATTACTCCTAAAAACTGGGCAAAGCCTACTGAGTATTACCGTTGCATTTAACTGAGAAATAGGAAAAAAATATTTTTACATGCGTCAGTTGAAATGGGCCTTTCATTCTTTCCCCCTCAGATCATGTGGTAAATATGACAATTAGAATTATTCAGATCTAAAAATTGATGTCAAGCGACATAGTTAGAAACTGCGAGCATGTTTCTTGCAATCGCGTGTGGTACCAGAGATCTGCAATGCTGCCACACATGCTGAGGTAGTATTTAATGTTCCGATACAGTAGTACCCGACAATAAAATTTCAACGGCAAAAAGCTTGCGAGGAACTACGATAGGTGGCGAGACGATCGACCCGGCTCGCAGGCCTTAAAACGCGGAGCAAGCAGCAATAAACAAGACGTTATCAGATAAAATCCCGATAAGTGTCCGCGCAGTCAAGCGAAGACAGGGGGGGGGGGGCAATCATCATCTTCACAAGTCCAACGTTTTAGTTTTAGTTTTCCTACGTTATACGTATTAAACCCACAATGGGAAGAACCCCAAGAAAAAACTATAATGATTTTATCACTGGCAGCTAGGGTTTCGGCAATATTAGCTTCGGTGCTTCGGTGTAAAGAGAAGGGGGGCATGGAACTGTAGTGCCGGTGGGCATACACCCTGGTACCTGGGTATTGGGAACATGTGTAACCGACCAGCATGTGCGATTGTTTGGAACTGATTAAGTGTAAAAGGACGGTTGAGTGGGTGTGAGGTTGGTTGAGTTGGTGGGCGGGTGGGGAAGGGGGAGGGTGGGTGGTTCTGAAGGAGGAAGGGAAGGAAGGTGGGTGAGGCAGGATGGAGGAAGAGGCTGAGAGGAGGTGGAGTCTGAAGGGAGGGGAGAGGTAAGAGGAGGAAGGGAGTACGGGAAGGAAGATTTGTCGGAGCCTGACCTACCAGTGAGGAACAGTTGTAGCGTAACAGGCAGCCCGCCAGGACGGCGTATAGCTGCCAAATGTGCCAACAGAAGAAGCCTACAAACCCCGTTTAATGTTTACCAGACCTACTTACCAGCGTGAAGAGAGAGAAAGAGCGCGAGATAGAGAGACAGAGAGAGAGAGAGAGCGAGAGAGAGAGAGAAAGACGGGGAGTAATAACGGGAGAGAAAGAGAGAGACGGCGAGCAAGAACGAGAGAGAGAGAGAGAGAGAGAGAGGAGGAGAGCGGCATCAAAGATAAAGTCATAACATATTGGCACGCGATATATATATATATATGTATATGCGCGGTCATAATGTCCAGTATACACATGGTGCGTCATGTTGCGCGAATTCCATGTTGACCAGTCGTGTACACGTGTTGAACAACTGCTGCAAGGAAAGGATGGTTGCGGGGAAGGAAGAGGGAAGGGGAAGGTTGTAAATACAGCGCGACTAACCAAACACACACAATACAGCGCCTCGTTAAGTTCTAGTTTAACTGATGCGAATTCCTGAGAAGTTCATTATAGTATGATCGAGGGATAATAATGACAAATGTCATTTTTTGTCAGTTCAATCGTGTCATCATGTTCACCATGTTTATTTTTTATCATGCCAATTTGTTATTATTAACCCCTGATCAAATGCTGCTAATAATCTTTTTATTATGACCGTTACTATTACATTTTTAAGGCATTATTAACTCTTGGTATTGATATTGATTATAAAGATTATACTATTGATTTTTTAGCCTACTACGCAACCCATTAGATAAATTGGTTATAAATAAAATTCAAGCATTTTTCATTATCTAGAAAGGGCGTTTCTTTCACGATTATGGTTAAGAATATTTGAGCATCTTTTACGAGCTGTTATACACGGAAGAAGTACAAGAAGAATTAGTCCTCTAGTAGTCGAGTAAAACATATTTCATCGTTAGGGAGAGAAGGGATCTGGAAGATGAGTAAACATGGCGGGTGTTACTCGCTTTCCTTCCACTAATAAAGCTAGTTATGGTCCGTACACGTCCAACGGTGTCAATGCCAAATATCTGTTGCATCCCGCCGCTCTTTTTCTTACTCCCAACAATGTATAAACAAACTGCGGTGTGTTTTTTATAGAATGCATACCTACGTCTTTAACTCGGTAACAAAGCTGTGGCTATATTCCCGCTCGTATACCACCCCTTCATAAGTACACGCACGCACGCGTGCACACACACACGCACACACACGCACACACACACACACACACACACACACACACGCGCGCGCGCACGTACAGCCACACACACGCACGCAGGCACAAACACACACTTGCGCTCGTTATTTGGGATGTTGAACAACTTTGTTGTTCCTATACAAACAAATATAACAGTTACTTTCTTCCTATCACGTCCCGCATTTTCGGTTAACACCTATCTCGTATAATGTTAAGTATGATGCAGTATTCGTCACCAGGTTCTTCTGTTATCTTTCAACGTTCTTATCAGTTATCAGTTGACAAATATATGTCATGTATGATATATAATTATTAACCAGGTTCTTCTTCCGTTATCTTTCAACAGAGCTGACGGCCAAGGAGGGTCTGCTGCTGTGGTGTCAGAGGAAGACTGCACCTTACAAGAACTGCAACGTACAGAACTTCCATCTTAGGTACGCCCCCATTGATCGATATATAATATATGTTAATCGATTATCGATATGTTAATGAGGGAGTAAACGAACAACTGATCTATTTGTAAAAACATTATTATCAATCAATATCGATAATAATGTTTTTACAATTAGATCAGTAATTCGTTCGCCCCTAATTTATCTATGTACACTAATCTGATTTATAACAACACCAATGTGATTACGTATAGACCAGTAGTACGAAATGCTCATAATCAAAAGCTAATAATACATTAGCTCTTTATATTATTAGCTCTTGATATATTCGCTATCTATAGTTTGGTTTCACAGATGTCGTTGAGTAAGATGAAGATACAATGTACAGCTGTACGAAGTACAGATGAAGTAACAATGAAAATATGCAGTACACGTCGGCCATCTTTACTACACATGCGCACTGACGGACATTCGCATGGGCATGATAATATGTGCTAAAATATTAATTAAGCAGTAGTAATTATTAATAATACTGCGAGCGTTAGCTTACTTCATCGCTAACTAAGCGTGATAGATGTTTATCATATAATGTTCTTACTATCAGAGACTTGCGGGTTTAATAACCCGCCTCCTACAGCACTGAAAAAGTAAACTAGGCCCTTTAATTAAACTCGTCCCCAAAGAAAAATGTGATTTCAACTAGCAAGTGGATCGTGATAAATATCTTAACAGAGAAAATTCTTAGAATTCTAGCAAAAAAGAAGAATTATACTCGATAGTTCGTTGTCAAGCGACGATATGGTGCAATATCTCTACAGTTTCTTCTAAACCATTGTCAGTAACATCACATCTGACGATTTTCTTTTCACGACTAATATTGTAATGTTATTTCTAAGTATATCATGCCCTACATTTCGCCCGGCTACTATGATAGTGTTGACGATTGTGGATGATAATGGCTCCCAGATATTCGGACAATAATTTTAAGCCAGGCGCACACGTGAGTAATTTTACTCAGTCAAATGATGCAAGCGTCAAAATACTCACGTGTGCGCCGGATTTTATTTGAGTTTCTGACGCATGCATCAAGAAACTCAATATCAAACATGTATAATAATTTTTGACTCACGCGTCAAATTATTCAACGTGTGCGCGCTACCTGCGTAAATTTTCTCAACACTGGTATTCACAGCGCATGCGTTTAAATCATTTTAAAGATGGCTGCGCCCAGCGTAGTCTCGGATGTTTTATCGGAAGACAAATTGGTAGATTTTTGACCCGATTATGAATGCTTATACGTCGTTAGTAGCCCCGATTTTAAAGATATGGAGAAAAGGGACCAAGCAAACCACAGTAAAAGAAACAATAAAATTTCTTCATCTTCGGAGGCATTCGACCTATCGGTATTCGCCATTTTGTGCAGCCACGTGATCTACATTACCACTTATACCTTCAGTAATTTTACTCACGTGTGCGGCGGACTCTGAAAATATTTCACGTGAGTATTTTGACGCATGCATCATTTGACTGAGTAAAATTACTCACGTGTGTGCCAGTCTTTGGGTACACGCGTACAATCTGGCCCTACTTATGTAACACGTCGCTCTGTCACCAGCACCACCTGCTGTGAAGAGAAGCATTACATAGGTGGAGCTGCAGGCAGTGATCGCTCTGTCACTAGCGCCACCTAATGTAGAGAGTTACATAGGTGGAGCTGCAGGCAACGTTGTTGCATCGTTGGGGCGGTTTAATCTACCTACGATGTCTTTTATCCTTTTGATTGCGTTTTTCCGCACAGCTTTAAGGACGGTCTAGCGTTCTGTGGCCTCATTCACCGTCATCGGCCAGAGTTGCTCGACTACCACAAGCTGCGGAAGGTTAGCGACTGTGAGTGCCGTGTGCAGCACGACCACGTGACGCTCGTGCACACCGCATACGACACCGGTTGCATGGTGTGGCGCCATCTGTTGTGGATGTTGGCAACCTTTCGACCGTGTTTTTTTTCTCTCTCTTGTTTTCATCTTTTCTTTTCTTCCAGCGTGGGAACTTGTTTTTTTGTGGTGCTGTACCTACCCACCCTCCTTTTTCTCCTCTCTTTGCTCCGGTTGACGCTCGTGTGAGTCGCCATGTTGCTGGAGTGCTGTCGTGCTCGCAAGTTAATGCGATTGCGTTAATCCCGTAAAAGCAAAAACATTGACGAAAATTATCAACTCATGCTGAAGGTCGTGAAGGACGAACATCGTTCTAGAATAAAAATCAGTCATAAAAAAATTCGCGCGAATTTGGTTATTTGAATTGGTTTTTAATGGTAGTTTTGATTAAAAGAAATTTGACCGCGTAAATTTCACTACGCGCGAAGAAGAAAAACGCAAGCTAAAGCGAAAGAGAATGGAGAAATAGAAATGTTTTTCTAGGCAACATGGCGGCTCCAGGGATGGACCGGCTCCCAGTGTAACGTTCCCTCCCCATAGGGTGCGTGAATGTACACTGCAGTGGCATGACTTTCATGTGGGTTCACATTCTCCACGTACACGCATACATGTACGCACACACACACACACGCGCGCGCACGCACGCACGCACGCACACACGCACGCACGCACGCACGCACGCACGCACGCACGCACGCACGCACGCACCCACGCACGCATACACACACACACACACACTTTGTAGATTCGGACATCGCATGCGGCGAAATTCAAAACCAACGATCACCACCAGGCGCTGACAGCGCTCTCGTCTGCTCACCACGCCACCTGGCGGCGGTGACATCCAGTCATCATCCACACCCCACCCCACCTGGCTATCGTCATCGTCTCTGTGCATTAGGCTACTACTGTACTCAGTGTGCGTGCACGGTGTGCGTCCTATCTTGCAGCTTCAAGGATGGTTTAGCCTTCTGTGCGCTCATCCATAGACACCGACCTGAACTGCTTGACTATCACAAGCTCTCTAAGGTAGTGTATCCCAGCGCCGGTAGGGGACGCGCATACACAGTGCTAACCAATCAGGGGTCACGTGGAAGTCACGTGGGGACGGTCACGTGGTGTGAGGGGGGGGGCACGTGGTTCACTGTTTTCCTACAGGAGTAAAGTAACATAGTAGCTGATGAAGGGAGTTTACGGAAACGAATGTTGCACGTCGTTGTTGTATAGTTCCAGCTTTTGCTGCTACAACAGTCTGCAACGCAGTGCAACATTCGTTTCCGAGCCAGACGTTTGAGCAAAATTTCTCGAACCGCGTGCCCAAATTGGCAGACTGACGCTTCTATATTTAATTAAAGACGTGACGCCACTCATCATTACGACCTTAATTGAAACTTAATTAATTATCAGCCAATCTTAAGGTCAGGCCAACATTACTCGGTGGCGGCAGGGAGGGGGTGTATCCGCGCATGCGCGTAGTTGATCAGGCTATCGTCAGAGTCTTTGCGTTGCTTAGGTTACCGTGCACCACGCGTAAATCGTGATGATGATGATTTAGCAATTGTAGGCATTGCGTGCCCTGCGATAAAGAGATGAGGCGGTAAGTGAGTCTGTTTCCGCGTGCAAACAGTTGTTTCGTCGTGACAAAATAGTGTTGCTCTCTCTATGTGTATGTGTGTGTGCCCGCATCCAATACGCGTGTGCCCCCACACCTCTACACACACACCCAGACACCACCCCGTCACCCCATCACCCTCGTCTGTCTGCATGTTGCGGTAGATCGGGGTTTTTCCCCGCTTCATACTTCATTTCGCGCTTGCACTCTGCTTCCGCATATGATCACTCGCCACGTTGAGAGGTGGCAGCATGACGTCACTGCTGCTGCTGCTGCTTGATATTCTAGCTGGGAATTTTTTTATTCCCCGATGATTTTTTCATGATTCGTAAATATATTTCCGTCGACAAGGTTTTTTTGTGGTAAAATTGGTGTCGTTTCGATTTTGTTTTTTTTCTTCATTGGGTTCGTATTCTAACACCTCTTCTCGTTTGAACGTTTCGTCGTAAAATTTTTTGTTTAACGCGTAATCGCTATGACAGCCCTGGCGGTGAAAATTCGCTAAACAAAAAATTTAAATGTTGAGAATAACATTTTGTCTTTGTGAACATAACTAATAGCTAAATAATAGCTCAACATTAACGCCGCATATATGTATTACATAAGTACGCATATATGTATGTAGACAAGATCTAAACGAGTAAGCGAGAGCTAACAACGTAATCTGCTACCAACGCCACGATATAGGTAGAGAGAGAGAGAAAGAGAAAGAGCGACGCGCAGTTGACATTTCTCTGACCTTGACCCGTACGTGACCTTGTCTTGCAGGACAACCCGTTGGAGAACTTGAACTTGGCATTCGATATCGCTGAGAAACATCTAGACATCCCGCGCATGTTGGATGCCGAAGGTACATTCCCCTGCCTCATCCCCCTCCTCCTCCTCCTCCTCCTCCTCCTCCTCCTCCTTCTTCTTCTTCTTCTTCTTCTTCTTCTTCTTCTTCTTCTTATTTTTCCTCTTCTTCTTTTTATTACTCTTCTTCTTCTTCTTCTTCTTCCTCCTCCTCCTCCTTTTCATCCTCTTCCTCTTCATCTTTGGAAGACATCCCGCGCATGTTGGATGCCGAAGGTACGTCCTTCTCCGTCGTCTTCTTCTTCCTCCTCCTACTTTTATTCCTCCTCCACACTTCCATTCCTCCTTCTCCCCACTCCTCTTCTTATTATTTTTCTACTTTCCGCACCGCCTCTTTCTCTGTTGCCTTCTACTTCCTGTCCTCAGCCTCCTGCTCCTACTTCTTGTCCTCAGCCTCCTCTTTCTACTTCTTGTCTTCAGCCTCTTGCTCCTACTTCTTGTTCTCAGCCTCCTCCTTCTCCTTCTTGTCTTCATTCTCCTGCTCCTACTTCTATTCCTTCTCTTTCGAACTCATCTCCTTTTCTTTCTCTTTCTTCTTCTTTTTTCTTCTTTGTCTTTTTTCTTACCTTCATCGTTAATTATTATTTTCTAGTTCTTTCTTCACCGCCCCTCTTTCTTCTTTGCCTTTTTTTATTTTTCTCTAATACACCCTTCTTCTTCCTTCTCCGCTTCTTCTTTTTCTTCTTTTTTTTCTTCTTTTTCTTCTTCTTCTTCTCATTCTTCTCATTCTTCTTGTTCTTCTCGTTCTTCTT